CCCGGCCGGCCGGCAGCCGCTCTCCCCCACCCGCCCTGCTAGAAGCGGAGCCCGGTCGGCCGCTGCTTCCCCGGGCAGGGTGCGGGAGAGAGGAGCGAGCCCTGCTTCTCAGGGGTGGGCGGCAAGTCCTGGGCAGCCCCAGACTCCCCTTGGAGTAAAGAGCCCTTAGTTCCGCGGGCCAGGCAGCGAGGCGACTTCAAAATGGCATAAGCGAGAGATGATGGAAGTGAAAGCAAGCCATCATTAAACGATTTCATTAGAAAATCTATCTGTCTCTCTGTCTGCGTCCCTGTCTGTCTGCTATCTGTCTGCTACCTCCGCCACAATTACATATTGACTGGACAGGGCTGTCTGGTATCTCAGGACTCATCTACTTACTCTTCTTTCTATTATTTAGTACATTGCTTGTGAAAGAGACGGTGCTTTTGAAGAGGCGAAAAGTGAATGACCCAAATTGAGGGGGGGGGGGAGATATAAAAATGATCGCCCAAATATAAACACATCAATAAACAGGGTGCGCAGTATCCTGCGAGGATCCATTTGAACTGCTCGCGTCTGGATTCTTTCTGTGGCATATGTCTGGCTTTATATTTTAAACGGTAATCAGACCTCGGGAAGAATCCAGCGTTAACTAGAGCATTAGGAGCTGCAACCGCACAATCAATCCTCCCAGAGTGGCATTGCTCCCTAAGAGATTCTTCAGCGCAGCAGCGAGCATTTTATCTCCAGGAAATTTAAGCCCAGCCTGGCGTCGTGGCCGTGATGTTAGGCTGGAAGCAACCCCCTTCCTCGATAGTTTAACACGAGAGGCACCAGGCCCCTTTACGGTTTCCAATGATCCGTGATAAACAATAACACGTCTTTTATTTCTTAAAAAACGAGACAATCAAATAAAATGAGCGGAGCCTGGGCATAAAACACCGGGCGAGCCGTGGCTTTATTAATTTCGTGAGACACATAGGCTGTGCAGGGAGGTGAGCGGGCATTGCCGCCGGAAAGCCCAACTGCGGGGAGAGAGGAGCGATAGTAAAAGCTTCATCTGGACACCGCTTCAGCCTAGGTATAATAAACATCAGGACCGCCGGGCTAGTTTATAGCGGTGCGTGTGATAAGAGGGGAGCAAAACTTGGAGCCAGTACTAGCAAAGCCCGCTCCTTCCCCTTCCCGGGAGCGCGGCTCCCGTCCAGGCGCAGGCACTCGCCCATGTGGGCGAAGCGTGCGGGCCTGTGTGTATGGAAATCCATATTACACATTAATATACATCTATCTCCCAAATTCAGAGGTCGACCTGAGAGCAGCTCGGTGCATACGAAACCAGACGGGGAGGGGTTGCTGGGGAGGCCCGGGCTTCCATTGGCTGCAGGCGTCTGCCGTGGTGCGGGGGTATCTCTAATCATATTCAGCATGTTTTGCACAAGAAATGTCAGCCAGAAAGGGCTATCTGCTCCCTTCGCCAAATTATTCCACAACAATGTCATGCTCCGAGAGCCCGGCTGCAAACTCTTTTTTGGTAGACTCCTTGATCAGCTCGGGCAGAGGGGAAGCGGCGGGAGCAGGAGGCGGAGGCGGAGGCGGCTACTACCCCAACAGTGGTATCTACCTGCCACAAGCGTCCGATCTGTCCTACGGGCTGCAAAGCTGCGGACTTTTCCCCGTTTTGAGCAAACGCAATGAAGGTACTTCTCAAAGCATGGTCCCCAGCTCGCACCCCTACGTGTCAGGGATGGAAGTGTGGCTAGACCCCCCCCGGTCCTGTCGCATGGAAGAGCCGGAGAGCCAGCAGGCCACCTCGTGCTCCTTCGCTCCAAGCATTAAGGAGGAGAGCTCCTACTGCCTCTATGACTCAGAGAAATGCCCCAAGGGCTCGGCCGCCACAGACCTCGCTCCCTTCCCCCGGCTGAGCGCCGAGGTCAGCCCGGCCAACAGCGGCGGCGGGGTCCCCGTCCCGGGCTACTTCCGCCTCTCCCAGGCTTATGGCACCTCCAAGAGCTACGGCGCGGGGCCGGCCGGGGCTGCCCCCTTCCCTCCGCAGCCCCCCGGCCGCTTCCAGACGCCTCCATCTTTGCCTCCCGTCCCGGACGCGGGGAGGAAGGAGGACGAGGAGCGCTCCCCCAGCCCCTCGGCGTGTGTCTCCCAGAGGGAGGACGAGACTCGGGCTTCATCTTCCACCGCAGAGGAGCTCTCTCCAGCTCCGTCAGAGAGCAGCAAAGCCTCTCCCGAGAAAGAGCCCGTAGGTAAGCGAATGATGATGATGGTGATGGTGGTGGGGATGATTTTATTAAAAAAAAAAAAAAAAAAAGGAAAAAAAGCAGTTGAGGATCATAGTGGCATCGCGATGCGAAAGGAGGATCCCAGCTGCCCCGCGGGGCTGCCAAGAAGTGCTGCTCAGACTGACCTTCTGAACTTCGTAATATTCGGGCATGGGGTTGCCGTAAAAATTAATGTCCATCCTATAGTTTAAAACCCTTAGAGCCTCCGCTCTGGGCAACTTTAGCCTGCATGCTGCTTAAACATATAGAAAAGCAAGATCAATCTTTCCCCTGTGATGTGAAGGTGCCTACCAGATAACAGAGATGTTTGTAAAGCATCCAAAATAAGCAATAGGCAGTGCCAATAAATAAACCTATTAACGGGGTAAGTTATATTTTACGATCCAGAATGCTTTTCGGAATAACAGCCGCGCTGAAATGTGCCATCTATGAACTGCTATCAAATTAGACTGACGAATGCACCGCGAATATCCTTCAGCGTCTACACTAGATAACAGGGTTGTTATTTATTCATTTGCTTATTTATTTCCCTTTCGGGTCCCCATGGCAAAAAAATAACTCCCCTTCCCTGGGCGGCAGACTTTTCAGGCGCTTCTCTCCGGCCGCATTTCAGAAGCCCTGTTATTCCTTCAGGCGCCTCGTTGGAAAATAATAAGATCAAAACAAAAAAGAAAGCGGAAAACTACTAGAGAGCCAACCCCAAACCACGAACCACTCCGAGCCATCGAGGGATCGGTGTTACCTCTTTCCCAGCCGGTTCCACTGATTGGAATAAACACCCTGCAACGGGGGATTTTTAATATCTTTTTTTTTTTCCTCCCCCGAAATGGTTGGAAAAGAGAGGGCCGGGGCGAAGCTCCTCGGGAAGGCAGGGGCTGGAGGCGGGGAGGCTCCGGCTCCCCAGCTCACCTTGTTTTCCGCCCCCAGAGCACACTTACAAAGTTCAGACCCGCAGGCTTTGGTGTTTTGGAAGCAGGTGCCTGGTGGGGGGAAATAAGACCCCAGGCCATTCACCGAGCCGCCCCCCAGTAACAGTGGGCTCGGAGCAGCCGAGGGGGAGCGGGGAAAAGCCTCTTTTGGGGGGTCGGAGATGAACTGCCCAGCGGGGCACGCTGTCCCGCCGGCGGCTGCTCGGAGCTTTTTGAGCAGAGGCAGATTTTCCCGGCCGGCTCCAGGGCCTTTGGGAAACCGCTTTGAAGCTCTCGGTTCCCACAAGGACACCCTCCCCCCCCAGCTCTTTGCCTCCTACCCGCTGGTAACGTCCCTTTTTTACTTTCTCAAAACTAGGCAATTCAAAAGGAGAAAATGCAGCAAACTGGCTCACGGCAAAAAGTGGCAGAAAGAAACGGTGCCCCTATACCAAGCATCAAACTCTCGAGCTGGAAAAGGAGTTTCTATTCAATATGTACCTGACTCGTGAGCGTCGCCTAGAGATCAGCCGCACAGTCCACCTCACAGACAGACAAGTTAAAATCTGGTTTCAGAACCGCAGAATGAAACTGAAGAAAATGAACAGAGAGAATAGGATTCGGGAGCTCACAGCCAACTTTAATTTCTCTTGATGAACCTATAAACACATCTTTATGGTTTAAAGAGCCAGTATCATTTTCCTAGGCTGTAGTCATCCGCACCTGTATGGATTAACGATTTTTAGACGTTCTCGATATGTCCTTAACCTCTTAAGAGCTACTTTGGCGTGGGGTGGGGGGGCGGACTAAAGCCACGCTAATGCACAAAATGCCGTGCGTGAACCTCCCCGCTTCCTTCAGCCGTCCTCGGGGCCGGTTTGTTCCTTTAAGCTTTGAAACACAGAAATCCCGTTTCAGGAGCTGCAAATATCTTTCCCCCCATATCTCTCTCTGAAAAGTAAACAAGCTCGGTTAAAGGCGCATTCTTTTAAATTATAAGCGGTGTTACTTGGACTGTACGTAGCTGCAGAATGAAGAATTTAAGCCTCGCCATATTTCTATATATTGGGAGCTTTTCCCCCCTCTGTTTTCCTTTTCTCCCCCCTCCCCCCTTTTTTTTTTTTTTTACTTGGACTGTACGTAGCTGCAGAATGAAGAATTTAAGCCTCGCCATATTTCTATATATTGGGAGCTTTTCCCCCCTCTGTTTTCCTTTTCTCCCCCCTCCCCCCTTTTTCCTTCGAAAAGCAGGACTTACAATAATGAAATGCAGGCATCCTTTAAAAGGGCTTCGTGGGAACGGGTGTTAAGAGCGATTCTTTTTTTGCTTTACCTTAAGAGTCAATATTACAGCTTTAAAATTGGCCAGGAAAATGAAAACTCTTCTCTTTAAAGGTATAAAAGAGTTCGTGTTGCTCATGGACTAAATTATGACACTTACCTCCGAATTTCTCTCGCTCTTTCTGGTTGTAGATATTTACTTAATGTAGTTTTGCTTAAATATGTGGAATTAGTGATTTTATTTGTCTATAAATAACGTTACCGTTGGTAACGCATGACAAGCACACAGAAATTCCCCCCGAGAAGAAAGTATTCACTTTTTCCTCACTAATTTCACTGAAAAGTATATATCCTGAACGTCAGAAGGACTTTCTGAGCCAGAGTCTGAGATTGCGAGGGAGAATATGTTCGTCTTCCTTTATACTGTGAAGTTACATGCATTAAAGGGTCAAACATATAGGTGAAAAAATTAAAAAAGAGAAAAAAAGAAAGAAGGGGAAAAACTATAAATACAGATATGTATAAATGTCTATTATTATTAAAATGCCGATACTGTTTTAAGCAAATGCATTCTATCGTTATTATAAATGTTAGTTCTAGCTATATCTAGTTCTTACCTTAAATCGGAATAAATTAATATTGTAATGCTGCTGTGCGTGAAAAAGACGATGTTTATGTTCTCATAGAAGAATAAAAAACCGTGGAATGAATCCTTTTAATTTTACCTCTTTTTGTGACTGTTTATCCTCAGGTTCTACTTTATGTCTTCGAGAACTTTTACAACAGGAATAGTTGCCTAAACCCCCTGCAATTACTTTAGGAATCTATTTAAATATTACCTAGACGGTCGTAATTTGTCTGGGCCATATAGCGATGGTGCTCTAAGGTTTGTCGGCTTTTGTTCAGTTTTATGACTTGCTAGTATATCTGGATTGTTGCTGTCTTGAACGAGTGGTTTCAGTTGACTGAGGAGCTGCATAGACTGAGGAAGCAAATTACTATTTCTTGAGGGTAGGGAAACGATTTTTTTTTTGTTTTTTTAATCAAACACCTACAAGTGCGCGGAGATCTTTAACTCCAGAGGACGGTGACAAAACTCTAGCTTTATCTCAGGGCTGAGAAGAAATCGTAAAGGTGAGCGCATGGGGAGGGGGGGACATCAGCCTCGCCTCCCTGCCAGCGGACCCCTCCAGACAAGGCCATTCCCTACCTGGCTGCATGTGGAAGAGCTTACTTCACCCAGGCTGCTTTTTCTGCATCCTCCCTTCCTTGCTGCATGTTTAGCTACTGGAGTCTTGCACAAAGGGGAGGCAAAAGGAGGGCTGGGAGAAGAGCGACAGCTAATGCTTCCTTGCAGGGTATGTGTATGGCGGGAGGAGGGGGACAGACTTTGAACCCGGGCTTCTTGGGAGCCGTTAGCTTTTCATGATGTAACATTGTCGTGCACGGCCTTTTTCTTCCCGATTGCATCTGCATGGAGAGGCGAAAGCTGCCCGTGGGGGAGGTTGTTATTATATTTCTCTCTTGTTTCCATTAACCCACCCGAGGCTGGCCGGGGGGCGCGGAGGGGTAGCGGGATCCTTGCGTTAAAGACCACGGCAATGGGGAAAGTAATAATTAGCGCCTGAGAACTGCTCTGTGGTTTAGGTAGTTTCATGTTGTTGGGGCTCCACCTTTCTCTCTACAGCACGAAACTGCCTTAATTACTTCAGTTGATATCATCACCAGGTATGCTTGGTGCGAGGGTCCTTTCTGCCCGAAGAAATCTTAGCGCTGAAGTGATCTGTAGGCGTCAAGTCCCAATGCCATTGTTCCCCATCTGCAACGGAGCCTCCTTTGATTCCTCAGATAAACACGGCAGCCGAGGGGGGAAGCTTGACAAGTTCTTCAAGGTTAGCTAGCTCCTAAGCGAGTCCCTGCCTGCTTGCGCGATTTTAATATATCTCGTAGGCTGCATTCAAGGTCAGGTGCGTTTTTGCATTCTGCTCGGCGTGGGTTGAGCTCGGGGGGCGGGGGGCGGCTGTTTTTATTTTTCTGTCTGGATTTATTAAAAAACTGAGAACCAGGAGGCTGCCTGGGGGAGGGGGTGGGGCGAGATCACG